TATAGGCTATGAGAGAAGGAGAGGATCTTCAAGTTTAAGAACCTGGATACTGGTAAGGAGGGTGTTGGCATCAACTGTGATAGTGAAGAACACAGGTGAAGCAGATGGTGGGGGCAGGGTGAGGGAGGAGACTGGAAAGTTCGGTTTGGGTACACAAAGTTTGGAATACCTATTAGACGCTCACGTGGAGCTGTCCAGCAGACAGCTGCGTAGAGAAGTCTGGAGTTCACGAGCAAAGACCGAACTCAAATCTAAACGTTGAAGTCGCTCGTGTGTAGCCATGAGATTTGCTTTGACTTTGCTCAGTCATCTTATTTTTGCTTGAAAAGAAGCCAAAAATTCATATGTCTTCTGTGAAACTTTCCAAATTAAAAACAAACCGACAGACTGCATTTCCCTGAACTGTCTTGATTCCTCTTGCTTTCATCACACTTTTCCCAGGCCTCATCCACTCCAGCTGGAAACTTCAGCCGGGCCCTAGTTAAAGCTGAGTTACAGAGAAATAACCACTCTGGTCTTCCTGAAGGAAAGCTGCGGGGGGTCCTTTTGTTCTTCCTAACGCTCATGTAGAGAGAGCATGTTCAGCTGAAAGTGTGCTTGCCAGGATGCTTGAAATTGGACTCCGGTTTAAATACTCAGAAATCTCTGTCTCTAGTCTACCTAGTGGTTCCATCTCGCAACATCCCACAAAATCTTCTCTCTGCTCTGAAGCTGTTTCTTTGGCTGTCTCCATTGCTGTGCATTTGCCTCCGGTTTAAATACTCACAAATCTCTGTCTCTAGTCTACCTAGTGGTTCCATCTCCCAACATCCTACAAAATCTTCTCTCTGCTCTGAAGCAGTTTCTTTGGCTGTCTCCATTGCTGTGCATTTGCCTTTAAAGAGAAATACTCTGTTTCTTCATATTTCCCATGAACAGCCAAACACAACACAAAACCACCACCTTGAGGCCCAAACCATGTACCTCTGTAGGATGGACTGTTACCTGTTACCCGGATTGTCAATAGCCCCACCTAGCAATGATCCTTCTCTTTTGGAAGAAATTTTTATTTGGATAAGCATTATAAAGACTTTTAACCCTCTGACTTTTTTTTTTCTCCTTTCTTTTCTATCTGTTCTCTTTCTTTCAACCCTTTCTCTCATTTCCCTTAAGACAATGCACATTCTGCTTTTATACAGAAGCTAACAGCTTCCAATGTGTCTGCCACACTATCTGAGTTTTTCCTGGGACACATCACCATGCTAGCTTGTCTGGGCTTTGGGGAGTAAGAGGAAAGCCATTGTGTCCATGCCGAAAGCTTTCTTTATTAAACATTGTGCACCAAAGGAAGTCACATCCATCCAGATGCAGTTACAGATGCAATATCGTTAGGATTTTAGAAGACAGACGTTCAATGTGTTTATCTCCTAGCAGTTTGGATTAAGAGCCTAACACCTGAAAGAGTGAGTGCCCTCACACTTAACTGACTCTTTTCACTTCCCAGTTCTATGATGGGTCTTTTTCTGGGCTAATGTCTTCGATGCTCCGTTTATGCCACATAGAGAAAGAAACAAAAGCGCAGTTAAAACGAACTGATTAAAGAACAGGGAAACTATACTCGTAAAACTGCCCTTTTAAATAAGAAAATTGGTGTTACGCATCTTTTATCTCAAGCGTCTATTTTACAGATGAGTTTTTCTAATCACAGTGTGCATTGAACCAAAATGAACCAAGCTTGAAGGCAACTCTCCTGCTCATTTATTAGTATTTTTTTTTCTTTCTCATTCTGGGAAAACTAGATTTTTCCTTACTCAAGTACTCTTTTACCCTTCCAGGAATGCATCATTGGTTTTTCTGAGTGACCATAGACAAATAAGTTTCTAGTAAGTTAATAAAAATGTAGTTTCTACATTTTTATTGGTAAATTGAGTTTATCACTGCAAAATAAGGTCTGTGTGAGGCATATTAAAGATGTGTTCTAAGTGCCCAGATATTTCTTAGAGTTTTTGCCTAAACCCTTCTCCCTACATGCCAAAGTAGATTTTGTGATCTTTTGTTTTAAAAATATTTAAACTGGAGCAGGTGCGGTGTGGCTCATGCCTGTAATCCCAGCACTTTGACAGGCCTAGGCGGGTGGATCACCTGAGGTCAGGAGTTCCAGACCAGCCTGGCCAACCCATAGAAGAGATGGCTAAACCCCGTCTCTACTAAAAATACAAAAATTAGCCAGGTATGATGACAGGCGTCTGTAATCCCAGTTACTCGGGAGGCTCAGGCAGGAGAATCACTGGAACCCAGGAGGTGGAGGTTGCAGCGGGCTTAGATCTTGCCCACTGCACTCCAGCCTGGGTGATAGAGCAAGACTTCATTTCAAAAAAATAAAAATAAAAAATTAAAGTGTGGAAAATGTTTCTTTTTCTTTTTGTAATTACAGGAATATTCTTTCTTACTCAAAGTTAAAATTCTAGTTGAAAGTAAGAGAATGCCAGCTCGAACTAGCCTAACTGCAATGAGGATTTTCCTGGAAAAGGGTTGGGCTATTTCACAGAATCCAATATAGATGAGAATAGCCAGTCCTCAGGAAGTTCATGGGTGCAATGAAGTCTCAAGAACAGCAGGGACCCACCACACAGTGTTGGCATGTCCCTTTTTTGCCGCATGCTGCATGTCAGCATATCTTTTTATTCTATCTCTCTTTCACTGCAGACAAACTTTCTTATGTCTGAAAACACGACCACTGAGAATGTCTGGGTTTTTTATTTTATAGTTTCAGCCACCAAACAAAGGCAACCCTGAACTTTCTTGGGGCCCGAAACAAAAGAACTACAGAATAAGCACCTATTGAGTGTACTTTGTTCCGTTTTTCTTTCTTAAGGCAATTTCTTTTTTGTTGGGGGAGGGCAGCAATAATACTATCATTTGCTCATTATGGAGATCTCTGTGTGTGTTTACATGTGTGCTGTGCGGAGGGGGATGGGATGGGGCAAAAGGAGGTATGGAAAGGTCATGGAAAAACTGGGCAGCTTCAGAAGAGGAAATTATGGCAAAAGGTAAACTGCAGGGGAAGCAGTATTTCAGAAGCAGGGAGATGCTGGGATGTGAAAGAAAACAGGGTATGGGAACAGGGGGCATTCAAAACAGTGCTGGCCCCCCAGGATCTCCTCAGGACATGCCTGGAGAAAGAGATCCTTACTTGGATGAGGACATCAAGGCTCTAAGTTTTTGGAACTTCGCTCCGAGGACAGGCATAGAGCAGGAGAGGATCTCCGAGTTACCCAAGTGAGAAGCCTGTGGCCTTTCCTGTCCATCAAGACCAGGAGAGTGGGTGGGAATAAAGAGGAGAGATAGAATTTGAATAGAGAGAGGACCACTGTTTTGTTCGTTTGTTTGTTTGTTTGGCTGTTTTGTGTGAATACATTCTATAGCAAAACTATGGGCCCTTCATTTAAATCTTTCCCGTACTTTAGGCTATCCTTGAATACTATAAAGTTATCAGCAAGCTTTTCCCAAACATAAGCCCCGTCAGCACAATTGTATGTTTGCTGTGCTGAGCAGAAAATTTCTAATAATATGTCTGAACATATGCAGGAATATTCGTTTCTAGGCTTTGAAACAATCATTGCTGGAGGCTTTCCTACCTATATAGGGCAGTCAGAGTAAATCATCTTACTTTTGCTTGCCTCAGATTCTTAGTGGCTTCACAATGAACCCATTTATTGTATTACATACCACTTCTGTAACTTCATTGCTTGCACCCTCTTTCTATTTAAATTCACGGAATTTATTCTCCTATACTCTCTCAGGCCCTATAAAGATTGTTTTCAAAAATTATGGTACGTATCATTGTTTTAACTCTTAATTTTATTCACTACATTTACTGAGCACCAGCCAGGTTATCTCTTAATGGGAGCAGTATAAGAGGTGCAGAGAATAACCCAAAGGCACCATGTAGTAAATGGCATTTGAACTCAGGTACATGTTTCCCTAAAGTCTGTGATTTCTGTACGGAAGAAATAAACGTTACCTCCACTCCCATTAGCCTGACTAATTCTAAAGACTTTTCCTTTCCACTATTTTTGAAATTTATAAAGGCTGTGTTTTATTTGATTGTGTTCATGCTTCGTATGTTAAACTTTTACTTAATCTAGTCCTGGTCTGTTATAATCACTTTTGTCCACATCATTTGTTGTAGTTTTATGATAGTCCATTAATTTTATGTACTACAGATTTCCTAAGTAATTTTCTAATGTTGGACACTTATGTCGATTCACCATTATGAATGGCATCATTGTGAATAACACTCATTAGCATATATATTTTTCATATTTTGAACAATAGCCTTAAGAAAGGGTCATCTCAGTGTGATTGCTGATTCAAATTATATAAATATTGTATAGAGTTTTTTATGTGTGTGGTAAAAATATTTTTCAGAATAGCCATATTATTTTGGCCTTAAGTAGTGAAGCCTTTGTTTTGAAGATAACATTTATACTTTTACAAATGATAAAGTATCCTTGCATTTTAGATACACAAGTATCATCTTTTCTAATTTCATGTTGTCTTTGTGCAGTTTAAAATAGATACCTGGTCATTCCCCAAAAAAGAAGCATGAGGACAATGACCTCAATTATCTGCCTCTCCTTTAAAAATGCAAAACCATTAAAAAATGTAAAATGATGATCTTTATACATTTTATTTTTTGGTAAGTGAAAAACCTTACAAATTCTGGCCGCTTCAAATTAACTTTAAGTCAACATGAATTTGCCTCAATAATAACATTCTTAACTTAAATACCTACATCAGCTCTGAGACTTACATTGCCCAGTAATGCAAGGTGATTCTACCTTTTGTGGTAAAACTGTAATACTCATGCTATTTTGACGTCATTCAACCTGCCTTAGGTATGGGAGTATAGCAAATCAATATCTACTATTAACTGAGGCAGTTGGATATGAGGCATTTTTGCTTTCCCCTTTCTGTCAATTGATTTGGTTCTTTTCATTTATGTTTTCTTTCATTAGGTGTTTGCCAAACTACTGTGAACATGGAGGAAGCTGCTCCCAGTCCTGGACCACCTTCTATTGTAACTGCAGTGACACAAGTTACACTGGTGCCACCTGCCACAACTGTGAGTAGATTGAGCATCTGCCCCTGGTGGGATGGACAAAACTCCAGGAATACCATTGTTAACTTCAGGATCTATTTAGCATGGGGCAGGCATGTTTTATTGACTCATTCAACATGTGTGTTTTAAGAGGTTATTATATACCAAACACTTTGTTGGGCACAGAGGATGCATGGATACAAGCCATATTCTTGTGGAGTTTATGGTCTACCAGCAAAAGAGGCAGGAAATGAGATCATGACAACACAGTTGAATAAGTTTAAGGTGGAAGCAAGGGAAGGTGCCGTAGGCACACAAGAGGGAGCTATTAAGTCAATTGCATTGTCTTGATGAGTTGTTAGACTGCTGTAATAAACAAACTAACATCTCTGTGGTGTAAGTAACAAGGTCCACGCCATGCCTGTGTCACAAGCCCATCAAGCATGACAGAGGCCCTTCTTACACCTTGTCTTCATTCTTAGATGGTAACAAAGTTCTATTATCTGGAAGGTTGCTGTGGTAAGAGGAAACACAGGGAGGGAAGCACAGGGAAGCATGCAGTAGCTTTTCAAAGCTTCTACTGGAAGTAGAAAACATTACTTCCACTCACATTCTATTGGCCAAATAAAGCCCTGTGGGCACACTCAACTTCAATAGGGGCTGAAGTGCAATTTTTACCATGGAAGGGGAGAAAAGAGAACCTGAATATTGGTGATAAGTGCTAATGACTGCCTGTCAAGCCCAGTGTTAGGGAGACTTCAAATAGAAGACCTGAGCTGATCTTGTTGTAGAAACATAGGAGAAAACAAAAAACAAATAAGAAAGAAAGAAAGAAAAAGGATACTCAGAAGCAAAGAAACAAATGGAAACATAAAGCACAGGGGTCCTCTGCTCTGTGGAAAATCAAAATTTTCCAATAGTTCCAGATGACTGGAGGGTGCTGAAAATGAGGAGGAGTGGTAAGAGGTGAGACAGAGGTAGGCTGGAGTATACACAGGATAAGGAGTGAGGGATAGAAAACAAGTAAAGAATATGAGCCTTCATTTTTTTAAATTAATTAATTTTTTTTTTTTTTTTGAGAGAGAGAGTTTTGCTCTTGTTGCCCAGGCTGGAGTGCGGTGGTACGATCTTCGCTCGCTGCAACCTCCACCTCCTGGTTTCAAGTGATTCTCCTGCCTCAGCTTCCTGAGTATCTGGGATTACAGGCACCTGCCACCACACCCGGCTAAATTTTGTATTTTTGGAAGAGACGGGGTTTCACCGTGTTGGCCAGGCTGGCCTCGAACTCCTGACCTCGTGATCCACCTGCCTCAGCCTCCCAAAGCGCTGGGATTACAGGTGTGAGCCAATGGGCCCGGCCCAGCCCTGATTTTTATAATTGTATAGTCTTATTGAGACCATGGGTGGGGGAAAACACATGAAAAAGTATAGAAAGTTTGCCAGTCAGAGAAATGTATGCCCAACTATGGACTGTAAGTGTGATTGAGAAAGATACTTCTGAAAGCGCTGTGTGGAACTGTAGAGCATTTCATGAAAAATTAGGAATTTGAAATTGGCTTAGAAGGTAGAAGGGTAAGATAAACATTTTCTAGACATAAGAGTAGAGCCAAGGCCTGGAGCTATTCTGAGGACTACAGTGAGAACTATCATTCTGGGACAGCTCCTGCCAGTTTTTCTTAAGTGCCTGCTGTTGCTGGGCTGGCACTTGGAGATTCAGAAAGAACATGGTAGATGTCAATAGGGCTGGAAAGGTAAGTGACATTGATATTCTCATCCTTAAAGACCTCTCAGCCATTCCTTAGCCTCCTCCATTCCTTCAAAGCAGGATTCACTGATGATGTCCATAGGGAAGTCTGATCAAATTAGAGAAGAACTAGTCCTCTCGTCCACTGGTCATCGGGGAGTATGTAGTTATTGCTGTTAGCTGCCTACAGAAACAACAAAAAAAAATTGTTTGGCTTTATTAAAAAAAAATCTTATTAAAACTTTTCTACTGAAAAATTTAGAATTCAAAGTAACTAGAAGAGTACCATTGGATTGTTCATACCATAAAGGGGTATGCTTGAGGGGATGAATACCCAATTTTCTATGAAGTGATTATTATGCACTGTATGCCAGTACCAAAATATCTCGTGTACCCCATAAACATATACACCTACTCTGCACCCACAAAAATTAAAAATAAAAATAAAAATAAAACAAAAATTAAATTAAAAAGAAATTAAGAAAAAAGAACACTGGAATAACAGAGATTGAATTTAAATTTTACCTAGCTCTTTTTTTTTCTTTTCTTTCCTTTTTGATGTGGAGTCTCACTCTGTTGTGCAGGCTGGAGTGCAGTGGCGTGATCTCGGCTCACTGCAACCTCTGCCTCCTGGGTTCATGCCATTCTCCTGCCTCAGCCTCCCGAGTAGCTGGGACTACAGCCGCCCGCCACCATGCCTGGCTAATTTTTTATATTTTCAGTAGAGACAGGGTTTCACCATGCTAGCCACAATGGTCTCTATCTCCTGACCTCAGGATCCTCCTGTCTTGAACTCCCAAAGTGCTGGGATTACAAGCGTGAGCCATCGTGCCTGGCCTTTACCTAGTTCTTATATGTGAATACGTATATGATTTTATCACTTTGGGGATCCTTTTATTTTTTTGCAGGTCCTAGGAAGAAAAACTGATGAATTCTTGTGGGTTCATCTAAGGCTAAAATTAGGTGTTTTTATCTAAGAGCCCCAGTGAACACCAATTTCTAAGTTTTAAGTCTGGTTCCAAAAATACTATCACCAAACAGCCAAGAACAATATATACCTATAGAGAAACACTGTAGGACCCACATTAGGCTATCCAGATTGTAATGTCAGTGCCGCTATGAGAAGTTCAGAGACAACTTAAATGGCCATCAATTTAATAGCAAGACAAGGGAAACACGAAGATTGAAGTCACAGCAACCCTAATTTCAGCCAAATCACATGACAACATTCCTGTGACTGTTAAAGCTTATTCCGCTCACTTTCTCCAAAAGTAATTTAACAATTTTTAAAGGAGTTCATCTCTATGGATACTGTTCTCCTTTAATTTACTTCATCCATCAGGCTAAAAATAGAAGATGTCAAGCTTTAAAAAAAAAGTGTGAAGATGAAAATCACTGGAGGTGAGGTGCTGGTTTTTAAAGGAACACTGTCAAGCCCGATGAGCAGGAGACTCAACACACAAAAACCTTAAAAATATCATTTTTTTAAACACCTTCCTATTTCCTTTTCTGTGAAATTGCTCAATGCCTACACTGTAGGCTGCGACTTTGTGAAACTCTATCTCGCTTCTGGGCACCCAGCCAGAACCAATCAAAATCCTTTGAATATTTGTGACATTTGGCAAGCACGCCTTAGTACTCTGTGCAATTCAAATATTTGTCCTCCCTCTAACTAATTTCCCTCTCCCCCAGTTGGGTGAGGACCATTGTTTTTAGTCATTTTGCAAACCAAGTGATTTCATCAGCAAGCTTGTGTCTCCCTCTCAGCAAGCATGGGTCGCACTCACAGGCCAGGTGAGAGCTTCTGCAGTGCAGAAGATGGCACACAGGGCACTCTCCGGCAAAAACAAAAACAAATAGGCCTGAAATTCTGCACTTGTGGAAATGACAGATTCCCTGCTGCGTTGAGGAATGTTTTACTGAAGGAATTGACCACAGTCGAAATAAGAAAAGAAAAACTCTTCGGATTAATAAATTATTTATAATAATGTCTTGAGTATTCTCTTAGTTTTGTCAAGCTCTTCAGAAATAGTCTTTCCCTCCTCATTGCTGGTGCTTTCTAGTAAATGTGAAGCAAGAGGACGGACTTAGGACAGATAGGATTAACTGCTTTTTGTCCAGCCTTTGTGGGCAAGAGAGGGCCTGGGTGAGGTAGGCACAATGGACTCTCTAAGGAATAACAAAATGGAAATTCCCGAAGCGTGTAGACACAGCATGCTGTTGTCGAAAGTAGAGATATCTTCAGTCAGTCTTAATTTCTTTTTATCCTTACTTGATGATATGTAAGGGACTTGGATATGCTAGTTTGGCCACTTTTCAAATGTACATCGTTCAAAACCACCTTTTTAAGAAAAAGGTGATGAATGTGTGGGCAATTTCTGTCCCATCTGTGGCAGCTTTCCGATATGAAGAGGAAATCTACCCCATAAAGTGCCATTGGAGACTATCATATGATGTTTGTAAGTTGTTACGGTTAGAAAATTTCTCTGAAAGTGGTATCCTATTCTCCAGAGGAGTAACTGAATAAAAACAGTGTTTGCAGTCCACCAGATCAATCCCTGGCAACCTAACCAAATTCAATGCTTTCCAACTCCCAGAGATAGATACCACGGTTATTAGTTGAATACAACATGCAAGTTCAGAAGGTTGTATAATCAAAGCCAAGCTTCTAAGTACTCAGGGTACATTTTGGTCATGGTGTATCATATCTACTTTATTAAGAATCTAAATTAAGATAAAAAGGAGCAGATTTTTGATTGTGAGATATTAGGGCATAGATAGATAGATAGATAGATAGATAGATAGATAGATAGATAGATAGACAGATAGATAGATATCAGTATAGCATAACAATAAAGGGATATGCATAGTGTTATTATCTCCATTTTACAGATGAGAACATTGAGGCGCAGAAAGCTTATATAAATTCTACAAGGTCTATTATCTAGTAAATGGTAGAGGCTGGGCTTTAAACCAAGGGACTTTGCCTGTTGATGCCAGATGCTAAATCCTGCATCTTATTTATACCTTCAAACAAGCAAGGCATTTGTAAACTTCCATATTACAAACTTGGTGATGGGACGTTCACGACCTCCTTTATATTGCTTAAGACACAGTAGAATAGTGTGAGATCATAATTGAAAATACAGTTCTAGAAGACTGAGAGATGAGAAAGTTTTTGTGTTCTAGAATAATCGTGAAAGCATTATGGGAGGAAGTAGAATGACTTGGAGGACTTCTAAAATTGAAATAGACAAAAGGAAAAGGGAGGTTTGTCGAA